CAACCAGTAGGTTGCTTTAGCAGTTAATTCTTGTGGTTGCGGAGGCCCTCACCACACATTACATATATTACACAATTCACTGGTTAAATTGTGAAATCAATTTAGACTGACACACATGCAAAGTAAGACTGGTTACATGTGCAAAAAGAATTATCATGCCATAAAAATGTCTATCAAGATACAAAACAAGCCAACTGGCTACGCAGTGATTTAAAACGTGTAACAGATTTATAGCTGGTTTCTGATTTTTGTTTGAACATGTGGCAGGGCCCTTGAAGCACTGAACATACCGAATACAGTGAAATGCTGAGAACTATCGAGACAACAAGCAGCAAACTCATGCCCATGATCTTCCCTCTGGCTTGGCCCAGCCAGTTGCTCTTAGCAAGTGCTAAGTGGCAAGAGGCTGCCTTTTGGCAGCTGGCATTCCTCTTTGTTCATTCAAGTTTTCCCAGTCTTCTTAGCAGCATGGTGCAGGGGAGCGTGGGGTAACAATGGGTGGAGATACACTATGCCTGCAGGGGCTAAGGGGGCAGGGTACTGTCCACAGATGGACCTGACCCAGTCACAGCGCAGCTGGCTCCGTTCAGCCTGAGCACACCCTTGCAGGGTTCACAATTCTGCTTTTCCCATGGGGCACTCTGGTTCAAGGGTTCTTCATTCTCCATACCTGTCCCATCTGGCTTCCACCATCCTGTTGGGGAACACCCATGAGAAACGACCCCATCTGCTGATTGCCAACCCCTTTCCCTAGCCCCACAAAAGGTCCAATTCCTTTCTGCTGATGATATTCTTCTAAACTAAGCCCAGGTGGCAGAAGCTGCTTTGCAGTGGCCTGCTTCAAGGCCCTTCCTTAATGGGTATAGCTTGGTGGGATGAAGTAGGATGGGAGTTACCTTTGAGGGATCTTCTAATTTGAATGAGTGGATGGGAGTCTTAACACCTGGCCACATTCAGAACTGAAGGGGCTGTAGACTGAAACGTACAGTCCTTCTCTAGTCCTAACATGCAGGTCCCCTTCTCATCTTCTCGAAGAGCTGATATGGAGATAAATGGAGCTTTACCAAAACAACCTTTGAGGCACTGGCTGGTTGAGGTCATCCAAAAGAAGATGTGAAAATTATTGATTGTGGAGTTTTGCTTGGTTCAGGCTAGTAGCTTGGACCTCAGTGAGGCACCAACTCATTTCTCTCAGCTCCCCCTCTAGCTCAGGGGTTCAGTTTGAGTTTCACCTTCTCTATGGTCTCCAGCCTGGTGCTGAGGTCCCTCTGGAAGTTGCCCTTCAGCTCCCCCACCAGCCTGGTGAGGGCCTCCTGGGCATCCTCACATCCTCTGTCCAGCTGGGCTTTCTCAGTGTGGAAACTGGAACAGTCCTTACCCAGGAGACGCCCCATTTGGCTGAGTAGCTCCATCAGGTATCTCTCAACTATTGTGGCATAGGTTTGGGAGATCAATTGTACTAGCTGAGCCACACTGACAGTGCTGAATGCCTGTGTGACCTGTTGGAGGTCGTTAGCCGAGTCCAAGCATTCCCTGATGTGCCAGTTGAGAGAGAAGTCCAACAGGTTGGAGATCATCTGGAAGAACTGCACCATCTTCACGCACTGTTGATGCAGGTTTCTCAAGGCCTCCAGTCCTTCTTCCAGGGAGGAGACGTACCCCTCCAAATCTCTTTCCCCCAGCTCACACCGATTCACAGCACACTGGAGTTCTGCCATCTCCTCGTTCAGGTGTTTGATCCTTTGGTAGTTGCTCTCCTTATCTTGCTGAGCCCCAACCAGCATCTCTTGGTTCTTCTCCAGTTTAGCAGTGTGTTTTTCCATCAACTGAGTCTCTCCCTTTGCTCCAAGAGCATCCAGAATGCTGGGTTTGTATTTCACTGCCTTCACAAACTCCTCGAAGGCTGCCTGCTCCTGATCTTCCAACTGTGCATGTGTCAGCTCAGCGCGGTTCTGTTCACACTTGGCAGGCTCCATCTGGATCCTTGCCCCTTCCAGCTCTTTCTGCATTGTCTCCAATTCCTTCTTATAGTCCTCTCTGGCATTTAGGCAGGCCTGATACAGCTCTTGCAATGCATCTCCCTGTTCAGAGAACTTGGCCCTCACCTCCTTGGCCAGGGTCTTGCACTCATCTACTTTTTCCTGCATGCCCTCGATCTGTGCCACAAGCTGGTCCTTTCTCAAGTTTGCATCCTGGAGGAAACCCTGCATGAGATTTGCCATCTTCTTGGGGACATTCTTCAACTGCAGGCTAATCAGGGCGGCGTTGTCCATGCCCAGCTGGAAGGCATCCCACACTCTGTCACATACTTCCTTCAAGCACACCTTGAAGGATTCAGGCTCTCTGAAGTATTTGTACCCACTGCTAGGGGCATTGCCATGGATGGAGAAATCGCCCTTCTCCACAGTGATGCACACCAGCTGTCCCAGCAGCGCCACGGTGATGGGGGCTAGCAGAAGGAACTTCTCCCAGTCAGCCTCAGGCCCCATCAGCAGCTCGGCCTCCTCACGCACCTTGCTCTCTTCCGCATAGCTCAGCTCAGATTTCATCATGGTGTGAGATGGTTCCTCCTCAGCTGCCATGGTGCAGCCTGTAAAACAGGGAACAGGGGTCACCCATGGGCAGATCTAGGATTTTGAAAAATGGGGTGCAGATGGTGAAGCACATCATCACACATTACACAATATAGATTTTTCTCCTGTTAAAAAGGAACTAGAAACTTTACCAATATGCTAGGGGTCCAGGGCTATATTAGTTTAAGATTGAAGCAAAAACAGATATTCATTTATTGGCACGTGTCTTACTATCTCATATGTCGTGTATAAAAAAACCCACAACAAACCAGGCAAAAATAACCAAAAGAGGTTGTTTCATTAGTCCCATGGTCTTTAGAATGAAGCAGACATCTCTTTCAGCTTCAGAAACCGAAATCTAGCCTTCTTGAGCATCTCAACAGTGCATTCAATACTGCACTGAAAGTTATTTCCCCGCCTGAAGCAATGTTCACCTGATGACGTTTTCACACCTGACTTTAATGTTTTTAGCAGGAGTTAAAAGCAGTCTGGCAAGGCTGAGAAATAGGAGCTTCGTGACCAGGAGCACGTAACAGACCGCAGAATTGCAGGAGCAAGGATAGCTAGATAAGCAGAACATCCCCAACATTAAAAAGGAAAGAGGGTGGTTAACACCTGTGGAATGAAGAGTTTAGAAGGAATGGCGTAGATTACAATAAGCCATGATCAGAGCTGTCCCTAGGGGTGTGCGGGGCCTGGGGCATATCAGCCTGTGCGCAGCCTGGGGGCGGTGGTGAGTGGCCGGAGGTTGCGGAGCAGGGCGGGGAGCAAGCAGATGGAGCCGGTAGCGCTCGGCAGTGGCGGTGCGCGGTGGCCACAGCGGGGCCTATACAGCACTGTCCATGGGGCCCCGCAAAGTATGGGGCCTGCGGCAGTCACCCTGGTTTGCACCCCCCTCCTCAGGGACAGCCCTGGCCTTGGTATCAATTGACTCCCTCATTACTGCCTGACTAGAAATGGTGCTGCCACTGCCAGGGAGTTGGTTTTAAACTTTGGGTGGAGCAGGAATTAAAGAGGGGTGCATCTGCACCCCCGTGGATCCACCCTGGGTGAAATCTCCTTGCTGGACATTCTTCTATACTCTGAAGCCCCCTGGGTCCACCCATTGTCCAGTCACCATCTCTGGCCTCTCAAATTTGCTTGACTCCTAGTATTGTACTATATGTAAGTTTTGAACCCTGCTGCCCTAGGCTGGAAGACCTGTCTTGAACCCTTCTTTACATTACCTCATTTTAAGATCATCCTCCAGAAAGGTTCACTCTACTTAGCATATAGGTGAATCCAGTAGTGCTCAACATTTTTCCCCGGGGCGCCAGATGCACAGTGTCCGGTCAGTCCACAGGCTGGATCTGGCTGGTGGTCCTGATCCAGCTCCCAGGGAAGGCATGGTGGGTCCCTATCCAGCTGCAAGAAGGGGAAGGAGAAGCAGCTTGGCTCTGAAGCAGCTGTGTGAGGTGAGGGGTAGGCGGCATAGCCTGGCCTCAATCTGGCTGCATGGGGGGGTGTGGGGGAAGGGAGCATGGCTCAGCCCGCATCTTGCCCTGTGCATCATGGCAAACATTAAGTCTGGTTTCACATGCTAAGTAGCAGAACCCACTCTTACTGTATTTATTGAATATGATGCACACTGACATTTCTACCTGCTGTTTTGTTTTTTTTTTGGGGGGGGGGGGGCATGCTGCATTTGGGAAAATATGGTATAAAACACAGAACCCACTCCTTGTTTCTGTACCTTATTTGATCCTGGGAGCAGGGTAGTTACTCAGGTGTCCCCCCTCTCTTCCCCACTCTTCCCATCATCATGCCCCAGACTTCAGGTTATAGACTTGTGCTGTCTCTCCCTTTCTGACCACATAACTCTTGAATTCCCTTCTGCACAGGGGCAACAGCTTCTGCCGGAGGGGTGGAGAGTACCGTCCCCTGCAGGTATGCTCTCTTCAGAGCAGCTTCTCCTGGAGGAAGGAGGTAGGAGACATCAGGTTGAAGCCTGTCAGCAGAGGAGGGAAGTGGGCCCGGGTTTCTCACTGCGTTGAAAAGAAAAGAACCAGTGGCCCATCTAATACATGCAGAGTTGGCATTTTTAGATCATGTCTGGTAAGACTGAGCTCTTCAGACACAGCAGAGGAACACCTCAAAGCCAGTCTGGGCTTAGGCATGAGCTACTTGCCGAGCTGCTGCTCCCTGCCCAGTCTGCTGCTCTGCTTTCTGCTCTGTGCCCTGAGCTCCCTGCCCCACCTGCTGCTGCTTTTTCCTTCCTGCCTGACCTGCTGCTTTGCGTTCTTATGCCTGCCCTTTGCTCTCCGCCCAATCTACAGCTCTTCTTTTTGCTCCCTATCTGCCACTGTGCTGCTTATAGTTTCATAGACGTTAGGGTCGGAAGGGACCTATTAGATCATTGAGTCTGACTCCCTGCCCTGGGAAGGAATGAGTGCTGGGGTCAGATGAGCCCAGCCAGGTGTCTGTCCAATCTCCTTTTAAACACCTCCAAGGAAGAGGACAGCACCACCTCCCTTGGAAGCTTACTCCATATTTTGGCAACCCTCACTGTAAACATTTTTTTCCTGATGTCCAATCTAAATTTGCTCTCTTCCAGTTTGTGGCCATTACTTCTAGTTACCCTGACATTGTATGTCCAGCAGAGGAGGCTCAGTTGTAGGTCCATGTACCCTCCTGATTTGCCATGTGCCAACCACTGAGACTAGCCATACCACTTGTAGCATCCACGTTACAGGATGGGCACCCCTGCTTTATGGTATGAAGAAACATTGTATTTATCATGGGTGAATGCCTTTTTTCCTGGTACTGTACAGACATACACGTCCATTATCCTGCTCCAGTTCACTCTAAAACAAGCTGGATAAAATGCAGTGACACTTTATCCTGAGACATCGTTGTGCACATCTGTACAGTGACTCCGGGGTCAAGCTTGAGAGGGTCATGCTCTGAGCTGGGACAAATCCTGGGGCGATCAATGACACGCTTTAATGACACAGTCAAGTCATATGAGGCATCTACTTATAGCCTTAGTGTCCCTGTGGCTGAGATCCCCTGTCTCCACCTCACCTGGAGCACCATGTCCAGTTTTGGACCATGCACTTCAAGAAGGATATGGACAGACTGGAAAACCAAAAGCATTATAAGAACGCAAGAATATAAGAACTGCCATTTACTAGGTCAGATCATAGATCCGTCTGCTCACTCTCCTGTGTCACACAGCAGCAGAGAGCAAATGCTGAAAGGGTGAGGGAACTGGGTCTGAGCAGGGTTTTGTTCACTGTTCCTCTCTCTGTTGCAGCTGCTAGTATTTAAGGTCCAGGAAGTTCTGATCCAGAGGCTGCCCCCCATGGGCGACTGGTGCCACCGTAGGCCAGGGCGGGGTGGGGGGGGTGGATGTGCCCCCCCTGCGACCAGTCCCGCTGACTGGGGGGTGGGGGGGGTCCCCTCGTGGCTGATCCCGCGACGGTTGATCACTGCAGCTGCTTCTGGGAGTGGCTCTGGTGACTGGCCGATGCTTGCAGGGGGGGCACCAGTGCTCCCACCTGCCCCCCATGCCCATCACCTAAGCGGGGAGTGCGGCCAGTCAGGGAGTGCACCAGCGCTCTCCAGGAGTGCACGTGCACCCCCTATGCGTCGCCACTGCTGCCCCGCTCTCTCCCATGTTCAATAGCTACTAATGCGCCTTTCCTCCACAAATGTGTTCAATCTCCCTTCGAACCTGGCTAAAGGGTCAACCTCCATGTAGCTGGTGGCAACGAGTTCCATACTTGAATGACACGTTGGGTGAAAAATAAATCCCTTTTTTTTTCATTTTAAACTTATTCTCTCTGCTATGTGTTGCAACCCCTAGTTTTTGTATTGGGAGAGTGAAAAATAACCCCCTTATTTGCTTCATTTCCATTATTTTGGATTTTGTTAACCCTTCTCATGTCACCCTTCAAGCATCTCTTTTCTAAACTGAACAGGCATGGCTTCTTTAGTCTCTCCTCATATGGAAGCCCCTCCATCCAACCCATCACTCTCGGTGCCCTTCTGCAGATCTTCTCTAGTTCTTCTATCTCCCTTTTTGAGGTGTTAAATCCTGGGGGCTGTTAACAGGAGAGTCACTTGCAAATCAAGAGAAGTGATTCTCCCAGTCTATCCAGCATTGGTGAGGCCTCCCCTGGAGTGCTGTGTCCAGTTTTGGGGCCTGCGTTTCAAGAAGGATATGGACAGATTTTTAAAAAGAGTCCAGCAAAGCGCAAGACAATTGATCAGGGGCCTGGCAGACCAGACTGTTGGGGAAAGGGTGAAAGAACTAGGGTTATTTAGTCTGGAGAAGACAGAGGGGGGATTTGATCACAGCCTTCAAATCCCAGAAGGACAGAGAGGATGGAGATGGGCTTTTCTCTCTGGCTGTAAATGACAGGACTAGGAGCAGGGGACATTGAGGTTGGAGGTGAAGAGGATCACTGTGACTAGGAGGGGATCCAGGATTGGACCAGGCTGCCTGGAGAAACTGTGGAATCAACTTCCTTGGAGATTTTTATGAGCCAATTAGACAGACACGTGCCTGGGATCGTTTAATCAGGGATTGTGAGGTTCTGCAGGATAGGATTTTACTGGGGGAGATTTCACGATGTAAGATTTGGGAGCGCAGTATGTGGGCTGCGGAAGATTCCCAGAATGCCTCCCTGACAACAGCAAGATAATGTCTCCCTGACACCTGCAAGATAGCAAGAAGTTCAGAAAAAGGTCTCATTATAATGCTAAAAATCACACCCCCTGGGCAGAGCAAAGTATGTTAATGAAACATACATGTATGCAAATGAGATACATGGCTAAAACATAGGTATAGAGACATGCTCAGTAGAGAACGTCTTATGTCAGTGGCTTGTAACCAATCACTGAGCGATACACTTGCAAACATATGTATAAAAGGTACCCAAAGGTAGTAACCTGTGTGGTTGTTACGTGAACTATCCGCTTGCACCATTTATTGCTGGCAATAAAACTTCCTCTGTACTTCCACCCCTGGTATACTTATTGGCGCTTGCATACTGGGCATGATCCCAGACTTGAGCTGGGGCACAACACAACAGGATGATCCCATCTTGAGCAGGGGGCTGGACTAGATGTGGCCTTCGGAGGTCCCTTCCAGCCTGACTTTCCTATGATCAGGGTAAAAATGAATGCCTGCCTCTCCAGCCAAGTCTATACTGAAGACCATGGGCTCCTCAGAAAACACGGGATCTACACAGTTTGTGATCCAAGTGCTGCTGAAAAACTGGGGACAGCTTGGGGATTAGCACATAAGAATGCAGTTTGAAAGAGTTGCTTTACAGCGAGAGAGGAAAGGAATTTGGTCCATTCAGCTGGCTGAAAAGAAGGGTTAGAGGTGGCCCAATTATTTATGGGAAGAGAAACACTGTCTGGGCTGACAGAAGCTTTTATGACTGAGAAGTTTTCTAGTGAAACAACTGAATCCCCGCTCCCTTCACCCCAAGGAATCCCACTACATTTGTAATGAATAAATGCTTTCATTATTCCAATCTTTTTATCTTTGCCTGGCTCAGTTTAGGGGGATTTTTAGCACCAACAGGTTCATTGCAACTGTTATAATTCACAGGGCACACATTGCCATGGAGACAGCCATAAAACACGTGGGCTTGTACAAACCAGTCAAACAGCATGAGGATTTGGAAGGGTTGCATGGATTTCTTCTCCTTTGTCAAAAGCCACTCAAAATATTTCATTTCTACCAGGCATAAATCATAGAAAATTCAGGCTGGAAGGGACCTCCAGAGGTCACATCTGGTCTAACAGGGGCTGAGGCAGGATCATTTCCATCCAAACTGTCCCAGACACATCCTTGTCTAACCTGGTCCTAGAACTATACAACAAACCTGTTGCACAAGTACAAGGCCCATTGCCAAAGGCACCAAGAGCCCTTGAAGCTATCAAAGGTAAAGCAGGGGGACAAGGGCTATCAGTGTCCCATCCTGTGCTTTCTGTCCAAGCTGTTGCTCTGCTTTCTGCTTTGTGCCCTGTGCTCCCTGTGTGATCTGCTGCTCTGCTTTCTGCTCCCTCCCTATCTGTCACTGGGCTGCTTGTCCCATCCCTGATCCACCATGCGTCAGGAACTACAGGATGCTCTGGCACCGTTGAATGAAACGGCAACGGAACAGCAGACGAAAGTCAAGGTTAAAATGATGCACATAAACAACGATAACCCAAACTATACCAACGCTATGATGGGCTCTACATGAGCTGCTATCACAGAGGAAAGAGATCTGGGACTCATTGTGGACCCCTGGATACAAACATCAAGAGGGATGTGCACAACCTCGAGAGGGTTCAGAGGAGGGTTCACAACTGCTCATATGGTTAGGGGCCTGCAGGCAAAGCCTTACGAGGAGAGATTGAGGGCCCTGGATCTCTTCAGCCTCCACAAGAGAAGGCTGAGAGGTGATCTTGTGGCCACCTACAAATTCATTGTGGGGGAACAGCAAGGAATAGGAGATGCTCTGTTTACCAGGGCACCCCCTGGTGTAACTAGAAACAACAGCCACAAACTGATGGAGAACAGATTTAGGTTAGACATCAGGAAGAACTTCTTTACGATAAGGGTTACCAGAATCTGGAATGGGCTTACAAGGGAGGTGGTGCTCTCCCCGACCTTGGGGGTCTTTAAGATGAGGCTGGACGTGCACCTGGCTAGACCCCAGCACTTTTTCTTACACAGGGCAGGGGGTTGGACTCAATGATCTGCTAAGGTCCCTTCCAACCCTAACATCTATGAATCATCTGTGCTCAGCAGCCATCAAGGAGCCAAACAAATTGTTAGGATTAAGAAAACTGTAAATAGAATGGAAAGTCTCACAATCCCTTTTTATAAATCCATCCTGTGTCCACACCTTGAAGACTGCCAAGTTCTGGTCCCCACACCTCAAAAAAGACCAAGAAGAACTAGAGAAGGTCCAGAGAAGGGCAACAAGGCCGATGGGTGGCATGGAGGGGCTTCCCTATGAGGAGAGACTAAAGAGGCTGGGCCTGTTCAGTTTAGAAAAGAGACTCTTGAGGGGGACATGAGATGGGCTTACAAAATTTGAAATGGGAAATGGAAAGTCAATAGGGATTTATGATTAACTTTCTCTCCGAATACAAGAACTCAGGGTGACAAGATAAAACTAGTCCAAAGTACATTCTATGATTCTATAAAGTTTAAAATGAACAAAAGGAAGGTCTTTCTTCACATCGTGTGTCATTAAAGTGTGCGACTTGTTGCCACCAGATGTGGTGGAAGCCAATAATGTAACTCAGGAGTGGGCCATATCCAGTCCATGGGTCCCATCTGGCTCACCATGTGATTTTATCTGGCCCACAGGCTTCCCAGAGGAGTCCTAAGAGCTGAGTGTGGCAGCAGGTAGTGGGGCCAGGCCACAGTGCATGGCTTCTCCCCGGCAGTGTGCAAGTCCTGTGGGCTGCAAATGAGCCACGGGGAACCCCGTGCAATAGAGGCAGGCTGGCCTGGCACAGCTCCTTGCCACCATGTAAAGCTCCTGGAGCTGGCTGGAGCCATGCGGTGCCCGTGCAGAGGAGCCCTGCTGCCTGCTGTTGCTGCTGCCACCTGCGGCAGGGCCTGTGCACTATGGGGAAGGGCATATGGGAGGGTCCCCCAAACACCCCCATCCTCCCTTACATCCCACAAACCCACACCCTGCCCATACCCCACCACATATACACACCCCCACACTGCACAACATATCTCGCAACACCCCCACACAGCCATACCTTTACAAACCCCGGCCCACACACCCCACAATACACCCCACCACCCACACCCCACACACAATGTACAAGAGTAAGACTTTATTTTTTTTTACCTATTATGCCATTACCGCTACATACTCTATACAAACACATGTAAATCAGGACCAAAATATTTTTTTGAAATAAAATTAAAATATATTATACTAGATGCTTGACTTTGAGTATATGATTTGGGATTGGGTGGGGCTCCAAGATGGCAACCTGCTCCTCCAAAAGGAGTACTTCTGGGATCAGGTTGGGGAGTAAGCAAAGGCCAAGGGTTAAGGGTGGGATGTCTGGTCCCAAGACGGTGATCAGAGGGTAGGGCACCTATCAAGAGGAGGCCCTTGACAGCTCACCAAAACTCATTAAGCTGTCCTCCAGCTGAAATAATTGCCCGCCCCTGGTGTAACCAGATTCAAACAGGGATTGGGCACGCTCTTGTAGGGCATAGCTATTGAGCATGGGAGTTGGGGGCACAGCCTCTGAATCAGAACTTTCTAGACCTTAAATGCTGAAGGCTGCAAGAGGAAGAGGAACTATGGAAAAGCCCTGGTCAGGCCCACTTCCCCCTTCCTTTCAGCGTCTGTTCTCTGCTCCTGTGTGACACCAGAGATCGGGCAAGACAGACTTGTGATCTGACCCAGTAAATGGCAATTCTTATATCACTACAAGGGTTGTTAACATGCGCTGGAGAGATCCCCCATTATGGCTGTGCAGATAAGATGGAGGAATGGTAGTTATTAAGGAAGCTTCACAGTAATAGGTGGGAAAAGGTGCCCAAGATCCCACTGGTTGAGAATAATAATCCCCTGGTAAATCTGGTCCCCAGATTCATGGCCCAAGCCCTCAGGGGTGCTGCTCCACCATGGTGCTGAATTTACAGCACGTGGGGAGGTGTCCCTTGCTTTGGCTGTCTCCACCCTGGACTCTTAGCGAGATGCTTATGCCACCGTTACATAAGCCAAAACCAAATGGCAGTGTCATCTATTTCAGGGGTTTTCAACCTTTTTTAACAAGTGTACTCCCAGCAGACGGATGTGGAGCAAGGGGGGGAGGGGGGAGCACGTGGCCATGCACAGAGTGGCGGCAGTGCGGGGTGGTGGCAGCAGTGGCTGCGTGTGAGCTCCCCCCACTCGCTGCGACCAGCAGGGCAGCGCCTGTGCAGCCCAGAGAGGAGCCGCTGCCCTCACCCCCTCGCCCAGCTCCTGGGAGGCAGCGGCGTGGGGTGGTGAGTGGCAGTGCTCTGTCCCCATACGCCTACACATACCCCTACCCTAGGGCCTTCCCAAGTATCCCCAGGGGTATGTGTACCCCCCTTTACAGCCCCTGATCTATTTAATTGGGGAGATTAAAAATAAGGGAAAAAAAACCCAAACCAAACCATGATGGAAAAATTAGTCTGGAAACCACGCTAGGGGCTGGAACCTACAGAAGCAGGATGTTGGCTGCTGTGGTCCTCCCGCACTACCTGGGGCAGGCTTGGTGTGATATGGTGCGTTGTGTTAGGGCTCACAGTCATTTTATGAAGGGTTGAGATTATGTATTCATCCGCGACGGTTTGGATGGGGCTGATCCTGCCTCAGGCAGTGGGTTGGACTAGATGTGACCTCTGAAGGTCCCTTCCAGCCCAACATCTCTAGGGTGCTAGGAAGGGACAATGATTTGACATCAATTCCAGTAACACCCACAAGCCACACAGTCAATTCTGCACAGAGGCTCAGAGTCAGACCAACTATTGAATTATCAGGAAGAAATTTCAGCCCCTGATCTGACTGGTACGGATTGGTGGGGGTTTCCTACTTTTGGAGTGGGGGGCACGGCCCGTTTCCTTGGATCTCTTGAACATATATTAACAACCTTTTAAAGCAGCATGGCATCAGCTTCTGTGCTTCCTTTCCTTTCCCTGCAGTAGCTTTGGGTGTGACAGTCCTGTGTTGTGTCAGGGCTGATGGCAGTTTTAGGAAAAGAGGCTAGACAGTGGATTTGTCTGGGGTGGTTTGGATAGGGCTGATCCTGCTTCATGCAGGTGGTTGGGCTAGGTGTGACCTCTGAAATTAAATGATGGATTTGTATAGGGTAGTTTGGATAGGGATGATCCTGCTTCAGGCAGGGAATTGGACTAGATGACTTGTGAGGTTAACTGTGAATTTGTATAGGGTGGTTTGGATAAACCTGATCCTGCCTCTGGCAGGGGGTTGCACTAGGTGCAACCTCTGAGGTTAAATTATGGATTTGTAAAGGGTGGTTTGGATAGGGACGATCCTGCCTCTGTCAGGGGGTTGGACTAGATGATTGCTAAGGTTAAGTTCTGAATTTGGATAGGGTGATTTGGATAGGGGCTTAGACTTGATAACCTCTGGAAGTCCCTTCCAGCCCAGCTCCTCTAGATTTTCTATGGTTTCTACGTCTTGCATCCGGTGAGACCTTGTGTCCCTCCCCTTGACTGCAGAAAAGTGGTGAGCCCGAGCAGGGAGATATGCCGCGCTGACTCTTGGGATGCAGAGCTTTCTCCCCAGTCCAGAGACAGCTCCCCAGCTGATGTGCAGCACCACGGCAGTCCAGAAAGCTGGATCCCCAACTGGGGGAGATGCCCAGAGAAATCCAGTAAAAAAGCTGCTGACTAACAGCAGGGAAGGAGCTGGCTCCAAAGGGCCTTTTCTCTTCTCCTGGGCCTGCCCCCAGGCTGCAAAGAACTCACCTTTTTAATATGCACCAGTCGTCCCAATGTCCCGAGCTTGCAATGCTTCCTGCAGCCAGCTCCAGGCTCCAAGGCAGGAAGGTGAACAGCAAAGGCAGGGCCCCATGCAGATGAAAACTCATATTACCAGGGCGGAAATTGTCTTCTTAAAGGGGCAGTACGCATCCTTAAAGCAATCCCCCCTTGCTTTCTGGGATTTGTGTTATAAGCTGTTATAAGCAGCATTTGATGAAGCAAGCTGTGGCATAGAAAAAGCTTATGCATCTCTGATTTAGTTGAAAAGGTGCATATCTAGCCTGCTTTTGGGCTGCAAATTACTCCCTCCAATCAAGCATCAGATAGATTTATATTAAACAGATGGCTGTGTTTCCACTGGAGGTAGGATCTTGCCATGTAGTGTAGTGATTTCTAACACAAACTCATAGCCCTACCCCCTTCTTTCCTTAAAAAATAATTTTTTTTTCCCAAGTGATGTATAAACTGCTCTAGTACAGCTGTGATGGAAAAAGCCCTTCAGTAGGGATTGCTTAGTGAATTTGGGAACAATGAAACTATATATGCTTATGCATACGTGTACACACGCACACACACAGACACACACAGACAAGCACATATGTGTGTGTATGTATATTTGTATATATGTGTGTGTATGTAGATAGGTGTATATATAGATGTTTATATATGCATGTATATGTATGTACACACACATATATACACACAGATATATATAGTATATATGTGTGTGTATGTGTATGTAATATATACACACATATGCTGCAAGCATATAGATATACGTACATATATACACACATACATACACACGTATATACATCTATACATAAACACACACTGCAAGACTACCTCCAAGAATCAAGAACATGGGCCATACATATGGGATAGGGATGGTGTCTGGGAATGGGGTAGACTCAGACAAGGACTCTGCAGTCCTGCTGGAAACCACATGGAAGAGGGAGGCGGCTTCACTTCAATTCATAGCGTTAATGAGACCATTAACTACAGGACCTTGTTCAGTCCTGCTGCCCACACTCCAAAAAAGGAGGTGGAAAACTTGGAAAGAGGTGCAGAAAAGAGCTGTGAGATTGACTGGTGATTTGATACACTGCCTTGTAGTGAGAGGTTCATGGAGCTTGCAGAGAGGGTTCAGAGGAGACCAGGTTGTGGGGTCCCAGTGTCCAGGTGTTGGAAAACATCTTCTGAGAGCAGAAGGCTTTGACGGAGCTGAACAAGCCCCTGTGATTTCTGCAACAGGAGTAAGGTTTGTGCTTGTATCTGTTATTGAAACTTCATAGCTTCTGGCAGCTCAGCTCATTTTCACCACAGTCCTCTTCCCAGACACTCTGGCCCCAGAAGCAGTTCAGCCTGAATCCCAATGATTTGCATGTGAGAGAAGGCAGATGGTGAGGGCCAGTTAGTTGCCAAGGGAATTGAGATGCCTAAGCCTGTGATCACACCCAATGCTAATAAGGTGACCCTAGAAAAGCACAATGGTCAGAGGTCATAACCAGTTTCCCTGGTCCCTACTCCATTGGCCAAGAGCCCCTTATCTCAGAGAAAGGGGCGGGAATACAGAAATTTGAATCTGAGCTGTATAACTCCACACAAGGCAGAGGGGTGGGAGCCTGGAACTTGCCTGGACCATGAGGATGGATTGTGAGGGGCCTGAGTCCTCCCCACCTGCCTGTGAGTATATCTGTGTATCCTCTGCTGCATGTAGCTGCTCTTGGTTATGTTGCCTGGTGAATAATATCCCATTAAACCAGTGTATAGGGCAGAGGAACTTGCTTTGGCTTCTCTTGTACTTCTCCAGATGAAATAAAAGCCCCCAGAGTCATCACAGGTATAATACTCCTACCTCCTTCCCTATCCAGCATTTGGTGTGTACTTTCATAACCCCTCTCCACCCACTTTCTTTCCATGCCAGGTGTTGTGTCAGCTGCCTGTGCTCATCTTCCCCTGCCAGGGCTCCTGGCATGGGAAGTATGGAGGGTTGTGGGTAGCACAGAGATGAGAGCCTATGGGTGGGCAGCACAGGGTGTGGAGCTGCAGAGGGTTGCGGGGGGCAGGTATAGATTCATAGATGTAGGGTCGGAAGGGACCTTGTAGATCTAGTCCGACCCCTTGCCATGGGCAGGAGAGAAAACTGGGCTCAAATGACCCCAGCCAGGTAAACATCGAGCCTCCTCTTAAAGACCCCCAGGGTAGGAGCCAGCACCACTTCCCTTGGAAGCTGGTTCCAGATCCTAGCTGCCCTGACAATGAAGTAGCGCCTCCTGATATCTAGTCTAAACCTACTCTCTAGCAACTTATGGCCAGTATTCCTTGTTACTCTGGGAGGCACTCAAGGAAGCGAGGTCTCTCCCAAACCCTGCTGGTCCCCCCTAGTAAGTTTATAGACGGCCACCAGGTCCCCCCTCAGCCTTCCCTTGTGAAGGCTGAACAGGTTAAGGTCCAGTCGCTCAGCACCTGGCCAGAGCATCACAAGTGCTCGTAAAGCCATGCCAGAGGCCTCGCAATAACCCCTGCCAATTCCCTCAACACCCTGGGATGGAGAGTGTCTGGACCTGCTGAGAGGTGAGAACCCAGGTGTCCAGGAAGGTGATACAGGAGTAGTGAAGGCGTGGGCTGTGATGATATGTGTCCCCCCCACCAGTAACCAAATATTGGGGAATGGGTCCCAAGCATCTGGGTGGGCAGCACAGGAGTCATGGGGCTGGGGGGGGGCGTTGAGAGGAGAACCCAGGCATGCCAGGTGCTGTGTCCATGTCCCCCCAGTCCTTACTCCCTACCCTATGCCCACACATTCCCCATCAGTGCTCTTCTGTTTGGGGGTTACTATGTGATACTCTAATGGGAAGGTGGGAGAGGAGACAGGGTGTTGTCAGGTGGAAGGTGTTTATGGGTGCCACCCCCTGGTTCTTTGATGTACAGACACTTGTGGAGGTGCTCGAAGCTACGGCTGGAATAAATAGATACCAGGTGTTGGTGTGACACACACACAGTCTCAATTTCTCCCCTTTGGCCCCTCTCTGATGTCTGCAGGGTTTTGCTCATTGGTACTTAAAATGTTCTCTGGAGTTTTGGAGTCTGCTGAAGTCTATGAAATTGCAGTCTGTTTAGACTGGATGTCAGGAAGAACATCTTCATTGTCAGAGCTGGGAGGCAGTGGAATAGATGCCTAGGGGAGTTGTGAACTCTCTATCATTGGGGGTGTTCAAGAAGAAGTTGGACAGCCACCTCGAGAAGAGGTTGGACAGGGAGGCATAGCCATGCCTATGTTCTACTTAGGGAATTTTCCAGGCTTCTGGGTTTACTAGTTCCCTCCTTCCCCTTTTCTCCCCCATCGCTTTCTGCTACATGTGGCAGGCCCTCCATG